TATTTTTATCAATATATTTAATTAAATATGATATCAAAATAATATTATTTATTGCTAATTATAAATATATATATATATATTTATACATATATTAATATGCATATATATACATTTATATATATATATATTAATTTGTATAAAGAAAAAAAACTTTATTTAAGAATTTTCGTTTATTTAACAATTTTATAAAATGTAAAAAATAATTTTAGAAATACACAAAACATATATTTCTATTGAATATAGTTATTCAATAGATTTGCTAAGTAAATCTATATAAGCATTTGCTATCAAATCTTCACTTTTTATGTCTAACTTAGACATTAAATCCTGAGCAATCTTCTCACCACTTTCTATGTCTTGATCATCATTTAAAATTACCTAAAATAATAATACTAACATAGTATTGTTTATTTATTATTATATTATAATTTATGATATTACAAACCTCTAATTCCAAAAAATTTCCTAAACCTTCAACATCATCAATATGTACACGAGTTTGATCAATCATATATAGCTTTCTAGTTTTTTTTACAATCCCTACAGAACCATTTGATTCAATTAAGATATTTGCAATACCACTACAAGCATTTTCATCCAAGGCTACTTTTTCATAATCACAAAGCTTTGGACCAAATACATTAGATCTTTTATAGTAAATTAATTCTCCTGAGCCATCCTATATAAAAAAATTTTTCTCTCATTGCATTATTAACAGTTGTTAAAATAATAATTATTTTTATAACAATTATTTTTTTATATTTTATAATTCTATAATATTGATTATATATTATATTAATATTATATATTATTGAATATTGATTATTAATATAATATTGATATAATATTGATTATAATATTGATAAGATGCTATCTTTAAATAATCTTATTCTATTCTATTCTAATTCTAATTTTATTATCATTTTTCTTTTTAATAATAATGAGAATATCTATTGTATATAATTGGATGTCATAAAAAAAGGAAAATAATTACATAGATATAAAAATTGAAACTATATATTGCATATTTCTTTATTGAATAAATTTTTATATAATTAACATTTTTATTTGAAAGTAACATTATTTTATCTTAATAAATTTTATAATAATATATAAAGCTAAGCTGAAGAACATTTTTCGGAAAATATATTTAACATTATCTATAAAATTTTAAATTTGTCTATAAAATTAAAAGTATTTCTTACTTCAAATTTTCGTAATTTTAATCTTCCTTCTGCTACCTTGAAAAAAGTATCGTGTTGTTTCATGATGATACCATTGTCTTTAGTTAATTGCACAATTCGAGATATCTTAAGCTCTGGATTATCAATTTTTGCTTTTATTTCTATATTACGCATTGTTAACTTATATCTAATTTTTAATTAATTATAACTATTTTATAACTAATCATTCAATAACTTTCTTATAGCAATAAATTATGTTTTTATACCAATCACTCACGAATATTATTGTTTAATTGATTTTCTTATATTATTTTTATATACCACAGACGAAGTATAAGATAGATCTATCCCATTATTCAACATAAATCGACAACACATGTTTTTATCATCTTCAATGAATTTATTCTTCTCTTGATAATAAATTGTAGAGGGCGACAAAAAACACTTGATCGATATTTTAGAACATTTAACATAAAGTCCCGTCAGATGTCACGTGCAATCTATCCATATGGTTTACAGTTTATAATCTATATCACAGATTATATATAAGAGTAAATCAATCAGTTTATGGACTTTCGAGAAACAAACTTGATTGTTATACCGACATTGATTTAAGCGTCCTCTATCCATGAATGACGGTTATGAAGAAATGGTTATTAAAATAATAAGAACTAAATATAATATATATTTATATGCAAACAGTCACTATTTGATGCAAAAAAATGATTATCACGCAAGTCTTATCGAGAGAACGAAATTATAATGATAATAAACACAAAAAATACTGATTGTTAAATAGAATACTATTAGAATTCTTTTTATAATTTCTTAAATAATATTCGCAATGATTTTTTTAACATGTTACTATCTTTTTCAATAAATAAATATTCACAAAAATGATAAATTATTATTAAAAAAATTCAAGAAATTATTTTTAAAAGAAAAATTCTAGTTTTCTTTTAAAAATAAGTAATTAATTTCAATAAATACA